GCTCATCACTTCTAAAGCCTCGAACATTGACCCTTTGTTTAGTCTCTGAACGCATGGTTGACGTTCGTACGCATGGCTGACGTGCATAACGTGCACCTGGACGTGATGAAGAGACATCACGGAGCTAACGTATCATTGTTTTGTTAACCACTGTTAACCTGGAGAGCACAGTTATAGTTTAGGCTCAATTATAACTATCCGTCGAAATAGCCATGAATGAAGAATAAGAGTTTCCACTCGAGCACCCCGTGCCACGGCGGTATACAGTGGATACGGCGCTCTGTTGCAGAACTCGAAAATCTTAGTCTCGATTCCTGTAGCGGTGGTCGCAGTTTAACGGGGGCGAACAGCAGAGGCCCACTAACTACTGCGGTATCCATGCACGTCAAAGAACATCAGATTGTACAAATTGACCCGAGCCTCCTTATGTCGTGCCTCATAGTAGTATGACGCTTTTGGCATGCAATAACCCTGGAAATTAATAGAGGTTCGGCAAATATTTTTACTTTCAGCTGGGTTTTCTTGGCAGCTCCAAACATTTCTCGTCTGCGCCTTCTTCCTTCTTTGATTTTCTCTTTTTTGTTTTTGCGGCATCGTCGAAGGGAGTAACATTCTACCCCTTGCGTTAGGCGCAATATAGCCATGGTCCCTCCTGCGCATGAAAATCTGACACTACAACAACAGCAATATTTGAACACTCGCGTTCTTCCTTTATAGCTTCCACTCTTGAAGAACAAAAAAAAAACTTTAATAAACGTCTGAAACCGTAAATAAGATGGGCGGCGTCCGTGCTATTTCACGGCTCACTTGAGCTCAGCTTATCGCGTTCCACCTTCGATATATCTCATCTTTGCGGCCGTCGATTATTAAAAGGCGGGGAAGTCGGGAAATCCCCCTTTTCTTCGAAACACCTCTCCGCCTTGATCATACCGCCCATTATAAATAAAACGTGCACTGGCTTTTACAAATCTATGGTGTTTTTGACACGAGTCGAACAGCTTTATACGCTAGGGCTTCCCGTGCTTTTGTTATTCAACAGGGTGTAATTACCGATTACACGCAGTCGTGAGGTAATTGTGGAAAAGAGGTTTGGCGCTGTGCCAGTTTCCTTTGGTCTTGTTTTTCTTTCTTACGTATATCTTCACATATTCTCATTCGCATTCCTTTTTTTTATTTAGTTCTAATTACCCTCATTTCTTGAACTAGATTTGGCTAGGCCCTTCTTCCTGCGGCTTATTCGAGACCACCGCACATAGATACGTTAAATCGTTACGGATGACACAGGTTGTACTTCGCGTGAATAACGGTGAGAAAATATAGGCCGGGGATTCTCGGGAATGAGAAAATTAATGGAGGTGTTCCCACAGACGAATCGACTGTTAATCTAGGGCCTTTTTTTTCTTTTTTTTAAGGGGGCGATGTTTTTCTCAGATATGTCGAGTCTTAAAGGACAGTTTGTTCGTTTGCGCGCGTCACTAGTGCTATGTTCAACCGTAATGAATTCTTGTCCGTTGAGCTAGGCTGCGCGATGGCGATGACTAAAGTTATAATGACAAACGGATGTCTTCGTTTCATTCATGCCTTGGAGGCGCAAACACCCATGTCGCCTACGACACTGCATATATTCAACTGACGAAAACAGCTACCGCAATCATGCAGATATCAAACTTCCAGCGCCTTCGGCGCCGGTGCTCTCAAGTTACCTTGGTTGCGTGACTGCTGCTTATGAGAGGCCCCCAACACCGCAGAGTCTGTAGAGTTTCGGCCACTAATAAACATGATTACAAGTACGTTTCGACACGTTTAATCATAGGTAAGAAAAAATAAACGTGGGTCACCTATCATGCCAACACTTCACGGTTGTCTGCTGGTAACTAAGCTGGACTGCTGCCCTGTATGTCGCAGGATCGAATCCCGAGCACAGGCGCGATTGCATTTTCTAATGTAAGCGCAAATGTTTTCGGTGCGTTTATCTTAATTTAGGTGCGCGTTAAGCAGCCCCACGTTGTCAAATTTTTAAAGCCCTCCACATACAGAGTCTATCATGATGCGGCTTCTGTTCTGTTCTTCTCTGTTTTTCTGTGTAGAGGGTGAGGTCCATATTGTCTCAGCTACTCTATATTAATAAGTTCTGCAGCGAAATTGAACAAATAAAAGAATAAGACAGAACTGTACCCAAAACAAACAAACAAACAAAAACAGTATATATAGTACACCAAAACTAGTAGAAATATCATGCTTACGTACAGTTTACTTGCAGCAGTTCACACTATCGTAATATGTTCACACACACACACCTTTCTTTTCTACTGTCAGTATATGCACTAACACGTCATTTATTACATGTGAACCCCTGGCTGTCTATCATAAATGCTTATTCAACCCGGTCTACAATAAGAAGTCTGTCAGGAAGATGTTCGCCTTTTTCTGAAGATGCATCTTAGGCCATGGTCCGAGTAATTTCTTCAAAGTGTGCGGTTCTGTTCCATAGTTTTCTGAGCCGTTAAGCCCAAGAAATCATGACAAACCTTATGAGCCAACCGAGCACGTTCATGCGGTTAATGTCATCAAAAAAAAAAAAAAAGCCCCCGTCACACGTATAAGCATTTACACACTTTCAGAACAAGTTCACGCCCTCGCAAAACATCAGATAATCAGCTTCCGGAGTCCCCTGAGCGTGCTTTCCAATTGACGCGTCGTGGTTGACTTGCATTGAGGTGGAGCGGGTGTGACTAAAAGCTCCGCGTTGACGACTCACACCTTGCCGAGCTATTGCAGGCCGTGCTCCATTTGGGAATAGCGCCAAGTATTTATGCTCACTCGCAACACTCCGCGTTACACCCGTAAGCTATACACTATAGTGTGTTCGCACAGCGGTGTACGTGTATGACCGGGGGGGCACGCTTGCGGAATGTTAATGAGTGCGGTGAAACGTAACCGCGGTGGCAGCCTGGATGCGTGTTCGCGTGCGCTGACCGCAATCGGAGAGAGAGAGTGGCTTGAGCTCGATGCTTCGCCTGAATGAAGCCGAGTCATACGCGTATACGTACACTCAGTGTGCTCACCGTGTTACGCATGGCGGGCTTGTTTATATGCGAAAGTGCCGACCATGGTGCACAGTGTGGTATAGGGCGAAACGCACTGCGAGGTTGTGCACTGTGTGCTAAATGAACGTTTTGCGTACGTAAGCGCGTGTGACGTTGTCGCAAGACGTGTGTGTGTGGACACCTTCCGGATCGCGTCAGCGTTCTTTTTCGGTTAGTCATACTTTTTTGCGCTCCATGTGTGTATAGCCTGCTCTCCAAGCATCCTTTCTTCTCGGAGGTGGCAAAGTTACTCTTATAAAAGTAATTAGCTTTCGTTACTAATTGCTGTTTATAATTATGTCAATGTAAATAAGTTACATTACAGGTCACAGTAGGCTGAAACTGTTGACAATGCATTAATATCACTTCCCAATTGCAATTAAATTGCTTCTTAACAAAATTTTGTTGTTCGTCTACCATGTTCTCTACGGTAGAACAGTGGTTACGGGGCTCGGCCGATGACCCGAAGGTCGCGGGTTCGACTCCAACTGGGGCGGTCGCGTTTCGATGGAGCCAAAATGGTAGACGACCGTGTACTGTGCTTTGTCATTGCACGTTAAAAAACACTAGACGGTGGAAATTTTCAGCGTCCTCCTCTACGGTGTCTCTCATAATCATATTTTGTTTTAGGCACGTATACGCCCAGTTATATTATTATTATTATTATTATTATTATTATTATTATTATTATTATTATTATTATTATTATTATTATTAATGTGGTGACCTTATATATGTATATTAAAATATCTGATGTATTTGTTCAGCTTGCCGACGCTTGAGAAGAGCACCCAGATAAAGTTGTCTTTGCCATTTTCTTTTCCTTTTCTTTCTTGGTCACATTTTTGACATAAGGAGAGCGAACATGCTAAATTTTAGTCCATTGTAATGGACAGGAGATCAGTAATAGTTTTCAAAAAATTTCATTTGAAGCAATTGATCACATCATTAAAAAACAAACTCGGAAAATTAATTCAGTAAGTTATAAATGCAAAAATTAATTTATTACTTCGAAGTTTGTATTACGAGTTACATGCTCTCCGTTACGGCAGTGTAAGGGCTTAATCTGAGAATGGTCATTCAATATATATGAATCCACGTGTCTCGATGAATGCGTTACAACGAATAAGCAGTACCTTGAGGTTATTGACCTAACCACTGGTGGTTCGCACTCATCGAGGACATCCTGATCGACAGTTAAGCAGGTTGTTCAAGTACTTCTATCGCGGTAGTTTTATCGGAGGCTGTTGTAGCCTATATTCACTGATCCGTTCGAATGTTAACTGTCGTCGTTTTAGTAAAGAATACTGCTTCTCTGTAGTATAAGTTATATCGTAACCTTCTTTTGAAGCATTTGCAGGGCTGTTTGAGTGCAACGTATAAAAACAAAGCAGTGAGGTTGTTTTCTTTTTTTTTAATTCACGTTTGCAACATACGCTTCTAAGCTGGGAGGCTTGCACCGCAAATATTGTTACAGCCAATTCTTCATTAATGGCGCTCATTTAAATTCTGGTCTATCGCACTTGACATAATATTGAAGCGACCTACCACAATATCATAATGAGCGCTGAATATAACTATGACGGTGTTTGTTATGTCCTCCCGCCCCCCTCCGCCCTCCCACTTTATTTTTATCATACGAGCTTGCTTCTTGAGGAGGCGTTCAATCTAGAGCACAGCTCGAGGCCTAAAGTTCAGTTCGCTCCACGCTAGCCGCATATACATGTGGGGTGAAATACCCAAACGCAAGAAGGTACACAAGCTTAGATTTAGGAGTGCGTTATATGATCACACGTGGTCAAAATTCTTCCAGAGCCCCTCCCCCCTACAGCGTGCCTCATTGGCGTGGTTTCTGCGTGCCAACCCCGCTTAATAACGCTTCTACAGAAATGCAAATAGAGCACCACGACTTACCTCGCTGGAACGGGAGACCATAGTGGTGCGATAACGAAGCACACACAGGGAGGAGGCGTTCCGCACTTCAACACACCGGCGCCGATACGACGTATTGAGTTTGGCACCGTTGACGTCCACGCGACCGATCAGATTCCAAGGCAGATAGCGGGCAACCGTTATTTATCGACACAATAGCGAACGCGATATACCCTGCTGTTCGACTCGTTAAGCCTCCCTATTTAACTATATCTAACCCGAACGACACCTTCAACGGATCACCATCACACCAGCCGCGACTGTTCGAAGCGTTTGTGGAGCGCTGCTCGTCTGCATTTTGCCGGTGGCTGCCGTAGCGCTTTTATGCCGCCGGGTCTCTCCTGCGTCCGCAGAAGCGATGCCTCACCCTTCCGCCTCGCACACCCTCACCCAGCTCCCCCTTCTTTCATCCCGGGAATCGAGCAGCGAAAGAGAGAGAGAAAAGAGAGGGTGACCGGCGGTCATTCGAAGCTAGCGTAGGGCACACCAACATTCGGTGGTACCTCAAGCAGCTGTACAGAAGAGGCGCTCCGCTATGTAGAAAGGGAAGGTGACGATGAAGAAGGGAGAGGGAAACGTGTGTCTGTGTGTCTCGATCGGGCAGGACCACCTCGCGCCCGTCAACATCCTTCCTGTACCTCGGCGAGAAAGAAGGATCCTTACATAACAGCGATTTCTCTTTCGGGTCCAACTCGCCGAACAGCGTGGTCAGTGTTTTTGTTTTGTTTTTTGGGGTTCATTTGTCTTGCTCTAGAGGCTTTCTCAGGCTGTGGGCAGCAAGTGCGAACTCACTCATCGCTGTACTTCGGTGTTTGTAAGATGTTTTTTTTTTTCCTGGCTCGTGGGATGTTTTTTTTTTTTTTTTTTCGCCGCAAATTTCACGGGTTGTGCGGATTCCTGCTGCTTACTTCGAAGCTGTTACGGTTCGCTGCTTCTTTTTTTTTTCTTTGCTTATTTTTCTCCTACACATCTAAACTTCGTGTTTGCGGGACTTTTTTTTTCTCTCTCTCCAAGAACGGTCGTTCTCTCCTCCTTTCCTCCGTACACCGTGTAATCTTTCTCAAATTTTGATTTAAAGAAAAACAAATCTTCCTTTGGAAAGCCCGATCTTTGAAGATACATCAGCCCGGGAGCGCACTCTTTGATTTTTTTTTTTTTATGGAGTAAAACACATTTTCTTGGAGATCATCGTAAGTTAAAGTACTTTCGAAGGCACAATATGGATTGATTAGGCCCAGACCACTTCCGTTCTACCAAAGTGTGGTTTCATGTCGTTTGCACTGGTGGGACTTCCGCACCACACTCATGATTCTCAGACGAAATTGTGGCTTTTCCCGCCGAAAAAGCTCGATGTTTGTGACGGGAAATTTGGTCTTAACCATTTTGGCTTCAAAAGAACTATTACTTAGGGCGCAAGCAACACGTGCCTCTATTCTAGTTTCTTTCTTTTTTCTATTTGCATATGGTTGGCAGAGTTGTAAGGTAAACGAAGCAACATAGTTGCTGTTAAGCACGTAACAGCTGGTTAATAATTTGGCACCGTATTACCAGTGAGCTGGTGATAGTCAAGCACGTGTTATAGTAGATAAGATAAACGTGTATAGCTACTTCGCAGCTTATTAGTTTGAACTTTGAGTAATAGCGCTATGATATTAATCGGCAATGTTGAAGTTTCCGTACTATTTTTCTATTACACCTATATCTCCAGCCCAGGTATAGCATTATATTACTCTTAACTCCCGCCGAAGTAGAGATAAGAAATTAATTATAGAGCAAATGCTTCAACTTCTTTACGCGATTTTATAGCTGAGCTTTATATACTGTGAATAATGAACGAATGCTGCACAATCTAGTACGAACATGACAAGACTTCCAATTTCAACTCTCCTGTGTTTTATTGCAGGCCTGCTTTCAATAACGTGTCATGACAAGCTATGACGACTGGTTACATGATATCAGATCTCTCAAGACGCTGCTTTAATGTATGCAAAGAACAGACCTTATACAGCATCCATCTAATATACATATGTATGCTCGTATACACCGAATGTGTAGTAGTGAACATAGAAAGAAATATGCCTTAAAGGGCAAGCGCTGTCGCAATACAAATGTTATACTATTTATTCTAACCACAATTAATACAACAATAGTTAGTTAGGCAACTAACTCGCCCCTTTGTAAGGAGAAGATACCGTTCTTGAAATGTTGTCTCGAGCGCTGTTCCTTGCTCGACTTTTTGATCACTTCATGTTTTTGTCTTCCCCATAAACTTCGTTTCTTGCATTCGTTATAAATTCAGAAATATATTCTCACAATCAGTGTCGCCAAACACCTGGGATATACAAACACAGGTAAGTGCCAGAGGTGTGGGAAATGGTTTTAGACGTTTTTACTATGATACAGCTAGGTTCAAGAATACACTAGTTCACTTGAAAAACGATAGAGTGGATTATTTGCGAGGAAATACGGTATACGTGATCACATGTATTTCTATAAAATATTTCACAGGTATATATATATATATATATATATATATATATATATATATATATATATATATATATATATATATATATATATATATATATATATATTCATCACTTATTTCACTATTCATATTTGTGCGAGCATTCGCCTGTATGATCGCAAACTTGGCCGTGGCCGAATATTCGGGAAAATTCGAATATTCATTTTTCAAGTGGTAGTATAATCTTTAATGAATAATTGAATTATTTAAATTTTTAAATATTTAAATATTGAAAATTTCGAAATATTGAAAATTGGATACATATAGCGTTAACACATTGCGGTTGTTACTCTGCAGCGTGCATCTGCATTTGTAAATTTTTGCGTGAGTGCTCATTTGAAATATCTGACCGCTGCAGCGGGATGGGCGTGCACACTCTGAATCCAGTGCAGTTAATATTGTTGACCTGAGCGACTTTGACGCGTCAGAGCGCAACAACTGACAAATAGCGAGTGATTCAACTGAACAATTAAAGGAAAGCAGGAGCAGTTTTAGAACTGGGTAAAACTCTTTGGTTAATAGGGCCCAATATTATTGTCGACAACGACGTATTTTCTTCCTGTAGGCCCATGTACTCAGATTTGGGAGCACGTTAAAGAACCCCAGGTGGTCGAAATTTCCGGAGCCCTTCCCTACGGCATCTCTCACAATCATATAGTGGTTTGGGGACGTCAAACCCCACATATCAACCAACGTATTTACTTCCGATATTGTTTTGGCAGAAGCTTTATATATTACGCTAAAGAAAAGTTCGTCTTGCTCAGCCCACGCGAGCGAGCATAGTGTTAGGACATCGGAGATGAACTAGCCGGAACTACGTCATCTTCAATGTCGTTGATGGAGCCGCGCTGAACCCGGATGAAAGGGTCCCGCCGTTCACTGATCCTAACTCATGTCTAGAAAGCTCTTTCTGTGCCCGATGCTCATGTAAGTATAACAAACCGAATGTTGTGCAGATCTATTGGAATAACGACGAACAACACAAGCGCAATCGGAACAAGATTCTCCTATATCCTCAGACGTGGCCTCTACGACTAGCTCCGGCTGTCCGCGTTGCCGGGGCTAATCGCGGATGACACGCTTTAATTGTTCTTCTATTGAAGGGGGCGTGAAACAGTGAAAGATCACTTTGCCGTAATTGCTCAGCATTTCAGGAAGCCCGGCATCTGCAGCTGCTGTTTAATGCAAGAAGTGTGCTACCAGGCAATATTTAGCGCCACCTGCAAGTGTGAAAAAGCCTCCACCAAGTGATGCCGTAATTAAATTGCGGATAAGCTTACGCCACTCCTGATTAAATAGCCATGACCCGTGCATATTAAACACACTTCGTCATGCACTTGTATATATGCTGGCAACGTTGAACTTTTCCCATCCGCGGTCGATGCACTTGATGGGATATGCGCGTATTTCAAACAAAAGGAACGAGAAATGTGGTTCATAACACAGCCACTCACAAACATATCGTTCAGCGCCCGCGTTTTGTTATACAAGAGAAGTCGATAACCTTCCGCACAGCGGAGGGTGAGTCAGGGAGGGGTGGCTTCTTTTCTGGTTCGCACCACCCCGTCCCGTCGTTGTGTGTTACGTGGGAGGCTCTCGGAAATAATTTTTTCCTTTTTTTTTTTTGAAACAAGAACGTCGCTGTTTTCATTCCTGTCTTCGCTTCGAAATTCCTTGTCACTGTTCTTCGTCTCGCCCCCTCCCCCTTGTGTATTGGCTTTCCCGCAATGTCGTGTCTTTCACCTGCAGACGCAGCGCGCGCGTATTCTCAAAAGAATGCATGGCGAGGTTAGAGGCATCCCACGGAGAACAGCTGACTGTCGAACGAATATATGCAGACAAGAATCGGCTGCTTTCTGTGGAAGTCATCGCTCACATGAAGCTTGTCTTTTCTTAGCGGTGACTATTTGAAAAATTGTGGGGCCGCGCTGGGTGTGGAGGGGCAACGGGGTAAGCGCGCAGCTTGTGGGAATTGACGGAGGATTAAGTGGCGCGTTGCGTAAACATGAGCGAAAGATGCCAGCCCTATCTGTTGCCTATATACGTTTGAATTTTGTTGTTCTTTTGCGTGAAAATGTTTTTGACATACCAAAAAGTAACAAAGTCCAAAAAAAACGTGACGTTGACTAAGGAGATCATCTTACGCCACGTCATCGACCCCGTTCACCTCGCCTGCGCCCTCCGTAGACAGCTGATCGAACAGAATTGCTTTGTTTTGATTGGTTTATTCGAATACATAGGAGATAACTTGGAGTTATGCTGATGTGGTTGGTTCTGCGTAGCGTTCAAGATGGAAGGTAATTGTACTGTCTATTATTTTCTGAAAAGTATGCGCTTCAACGAGTGAATGGGCTGGAGGTCCTTCGAAAGTGGTATTATGCGTGACTAGTAGGTTCCTCTTGCACAACTAACCGGTGAAGGAAGGAGACGAAAGCGACACATTCGACTGCTATATACCACTAAACAACTCGTAACAACTGTCCCCGCGAGTGACCACTTAAAGCAGATTAGTATACGCTGCGCGTGTTACGAGATGATAGTGTTGATCCTGTGAGATGCTCTGCGTCGTGCATGCTTCGAAACGCAGACGATGAATGCCATGTACGTGGCAACAATGACGATTAGTGCACAAAAACAAATAAAAGAAAAACTCCCCTGCGAAAGAATCGTTAAGGAATGATCGAGGGGGACACAAAAACGTGAAGAGAGAGGATACAGTTTTTTATTCATGTATTG